ATTATTATTATTATTATTATTATTATTATTATTATTATTATAATTTTCCAAGGGCCTACGATTAGGACTATGATTAGTAGCCAACAATTGATTTTATTGTTCTTGTGATTGTTATACTTTTGTTTTTTTTTCTATTATAGAAGTGCTCATGCTGCTTTTTTTGTCAGTTGTGGCAAAATTTAGTGGTGATAAGGATTATGTAGCCGTAGTTGTTGCTACTACTGTATTGCTGCTGTTGTTGTTGATGCTGCTGCTACTGTTGTTATTGTTGTTGTTGTTGTTGTTGTTGTTGTTGCTGCTGTTGTTGTTGTTGTTGTTGATGATGATGATGATGTCGTCGTTGTCGTTAATATAACCTTACACCAAGCGACCCCAGCCTCTTTTGATCGCAATTTTCTCGATTTCTGCTCAAGATACATGCCTATGACACGTTATTATTATCATTGTTATCATTGTGATCATTGTTATCATTATTGTTATCAATATTATTATTATTATTATTAGTAGTAGTAGTAGTAGTAGTAGTAGTAGTAGTAGTAGTAGTAGTAGTAGTAGTAGTAGTGTAACGTGTTACTCTTTTATTTGTATTGCTATTCTTATTAAATAATAATAATAGTAATAGTTAAAATATATTCTCACTTGGATGAAGTAAGAATAATGGTTGTAAACTACCTTTTCCACGAACACAACGTCAGGCCTATGACGGGGTTCGATCCCATGCCCATTCGGTTACGAGCCGTACGACTTAATTAACCATTAACCTCTCGATAACGGACGCCAGCAGACAGACAGACGAGCTCGAACACGCAAACAGTCAAACAGACAGACAGATATAATTAGGAAGAGGCTAGCCGTACTTAATGACGGCTAGACTGTTATTTAATGACGAATAGGCTAACCGTACATAGTAATAATGGTTAGACTGACAAGCAACAAAAAATAGGACTACTGAACTGTAAATACATTTTTAGTTTGCAATACCTGAAGTATTTGTATCTGAGATGAAACCAAAAGGTGCCTTAATAACTGTTACAGTGTATGCATTTAAAACCTGAATAATTACTAATGAGGACTGTGTACTCAACAGGTTTTGGTCAATAAGTCTTACAATAAGTAGGCAGCCTGCCAGTCTACTTGCCGTACTTAGACGGTTAGGCAAACCGTACTTAATAATGATGGTTGAATTGTACACCAAATTTTAGTTTGCAATACCTAAAGTATTAAGTATTTCAGACGAAACCAAAAGGTGCCTTACTGACTTGCATGTATTTTAAACCTGAATAATTACTAGATCTAATGAGACCTGTGTACTCAAGAGATTTCGGTCATCATGGGGCCTAACCTAAGTTCAGCTTGCCACTTCGATATAATTAAAACATATTCATTAAAACATATTCAAGGGATATAACTTTGGCAAGAGGAAATGACTCGTGGGGGTATTAATGTTATGCCCCTTCCCAATCGGTTTTAAATTCTTGCATAGCACGAAAAGGATTAAACTTTTCTTACTTCGATAACGTTCTCCCGGGGGCTCTCACGGCCTAGAGGTTTTAAGGTGTTCGCCTCTCATTCTCTAGGTTCCGGGGTCAAATCTAGATAGCGACGGAACATTTTCCTCTTTAAAATTAAATTTCTACTTTCACATCCTTTCCTGCTCTCAAACAACGTTCTGTCGTCTGCGTTGGTCTCCACTTTCTGCCCCTACCCTTCTCACTCTCACCTCCTGTGCCATCTCCTCTGGGCTCTTGACTCTACTGCTACTCTTTGGCTCCTGCTTACTGCTGTCTTTCAGCCAAACCCCTGATCTTCTGTTAGGAAATATCTACACCTAGCGTTCTAGGACTAGGGCGAAAACTCGGAGGTCCCGTGTCCAAGTTGCGCAAGTTAAAGATCCCTTCTTGGTCCAAAATCGATAATAGTAGGCTCCGGCCGCCACCCGGGAAAAAAATCAAGATTTCCTTCGAACTGAAAATATTTACTGTGTCCCGCGCGCTCATATGAGCTTATTATGCAGTTGTGAGCGCCGTAAAACACTTACCCAAAAAAACTGTCGCCCTCCCTCCCCCCCTCTCTCTTTCTCTCCGTCACAAACGCACACGCAAACACACACAAACACACACACACACACACACAGACACACACACTCACACACACACATACACACACACACACACACACTCACCCATTGTCCTCATTCAGCAGACCTGTGTTCTGGCATTCCGTAAAACTAATAATTATTGATCAGTGGAAATGTTGAAGGACGAATCTCTCT